AACATAATATAGTTTGTTGACCGTATATTAACAAATGTTTTGTAGATTTGACCCAACTTTTTATAAATAATACCTAGATAAAAAATTTGGCACCCTTAAGAGGCCTAACCACTGGAAATATGGGAGGCATACCTCTTAAATCGTTTTTCCTCAAATAACAACACATAGGTATCCTGAATAGTTTAAGGATCCTTATAAAAAAATAATTTAAATTCGCAATAATTTAATTTTGTCTTAAAATGATTTCAATTTTAAAAGTCTTAATAATTCACAATTGAACAAATTTCATACCACAAAATTGACAGTGACAGTTGCACCCGTGACAGTTGTAGGCGGTGCCCCACCCTAAATGCGGCCCTGACTATGTAATTTGTTGTAGTGTTGTAAATTGTTTAAATGTGTTTTTTTTTTATAAACCATTATCTTTATAGTTATACAATTATGTATGTATCAGTAAATATATTACCAAGATGCTTTTTGCATACTACATAAACACCATTCTCCGTTGTACATTAATATTGCATTGAATAATTACTGACAACGGTTACTTTTTAAGTGATTATTGGATACTGTAAAATATGATGAGTAACGATAAAAACATTCATTTATAACTTTTAGAAATGTATATTTTTCAATTGAGTTTCAACATGAATAGCGGATTTCAATGCATATGCTGTTATAAAATAATTTGATGAAAAGAATAAATCATTTATCCATTACAGCCCTACATTTACTGTTAAGCATTATGATCTATGACAAGAAATCATCGTCGAATCTGTTATTAAACACAAGACTGTTGTATCCTTTTCACATTTTAGATTTAATACATAAGATTATAAATTTATGAATCAAATTTGTATTGTTCAAAGCAACACATTTGCATGTGTTGTTACCTAAGTTTGATAAAATGTTATTATTAAAGCATATTACATAGAATGATAATTACTAGGGCTTGGATTTATATATATTTATATAAAAAAGTAGGTATGTATTTATACAACAAAAATATGTACATAAATATGTGCTAAAGAATTCAAAATATGTACTATCCAAAAAAATAACAATAATTAATAATATAATAAAATGTAATGAAAAATTTATATTTATCTAATATTATATTAATTACAATTGATAACATTAATTTTGAAATGTTCGAATCCAAAAGATCTACAAAATTGTCATAAAATGTTAATAATAATTAATAATTAACAATAAAATAAATTGTAATAAGAAAATGTATATTTATCTAGTTATCTAATTATCTTGAATATAATTTATTAATAATAACATTCACTTTAAATTTTTAGATTCAAATGATCGTCGATATAATATATAGTCATGCTAACTAGTAAATTGTAGCATAGGTAATAAAATATTTTCATTATTTTTAACGAACGCAATTTATATATTTTGTTGCAATAGCAATATGGATAATAGTATGATATTCGAATTTGGGAGATGGTAAACTGCGTCAAAATTAATATTTTTCTAAGAGTGTAAACATCGTCGAACAATAATTTAACATTATACAATCTGCAACTAAAACGATAAGATACATCATGCAAATTATTTTATATAATTATGCTACCAATACAGCATATACTGTACGGTAGGTACCAAACTACCAACTATATATTATACGGACGGTTGACGGTATAACACCATAGGTTATGTGTACATATCGTTTCGATAACATATTAAATTATCGATAGGTGATAATTTTAGTGATATCAAGTTACAACTGGCAAATAATGAATTAAATATTCAAAATTACGAAAAAATATGTATACGAGTATAAACATAATGAACAAGAATACCCGAAGTTAAAAACTTTTCGGTCAACTTTGTTATAAGCCTTATTTTTTCTCGTTGTTAGATAAAAGTTTTTCTTGAGTGGTTAGTACCTACATTCAATGACTCTTCAAAATTTATGTTTGTACTCGTATACATATTTTTTCGTAATTTTTAATATTTAATTCGTTATTTGCGTATCTATCAGATACAACTACGCAGTTAGATCCATAGTGTCTTTTCACGTAGCTTAAATAATTTTCTATGATATTGCCATACGTCGAAGTTGAGGGCCATACAACGCTATGCAATAAGATACCTCCATCGTTTATTACAATAACATTTTTGTCCAGAACATTATATGTGTTTGTTGTAGTTAGAAACACATCATATAAAATAGAATTTTTAGTTTTTCTCATTTGACCTGATTCGTCGAACAATGAAAATGGAATAGGTGATAATTCATATTCAAAAAATTATTTGAGATATTTGTCAGTCTTAACTCTTATCATTATTCTTTAGAAGAGTAGGTATAAAGGATCAATTGAAAAAATTTCATCTCTAATACAAACCGTGAGTTTTTTAGCAAAATCTAAATTGACTACGCGATTTGCCAGTTGTAACTTGATATCACTAAAATTATCACCTATACCTAACATTTTTCATTGTCTGTTGGCCCACTCCTTGTGCTTCATAACAATGAATTTGTTCATTTCCTACAATTCTTGTAGAAATTGACATCATTTCGTATAAATCCGGAAAATTTATTTTAACCAATTTGTAAGTATACCGATAATATGTTTCTTATCGATTTTCATGCGAGAATCTCGTTGATCAACATGTTGCTCTGACGTAAAATTAAATGTGTCTGTAAATTGTTCAATTTGGTCGGTTATTGTACTTGCAACTGGAGTGAATATAAGTCAACGAACTAAAACACTGTTTTGAAAACCTCGACCATTGATTAAGAAATAATTTAACGTGGTCTTAAGTAAAATTATCAACTCATCAACTTTTGTCATATGTCGTTTTAGCGTATGCTTGACGGTTTTCGCTCAAACACAATAAAAAAAAAGATAAATTACTTTTTTTTATATATTTTTTAAATATATAATATTTATCGCTATATATATACATAAAAAGTAAATTAAGTCAATAGCAAGTTGTATGGTCTTTAATTTTGGTCATAGGTGTTTATAAGCGAAAAGAATGAATAAATGGGGTCGTCACCCTTTGAAGTGGGGTGGAGGGCTAAGCACAAGGTATAGGTGTCAGGACTTTTAGAATGTTTATAAGTAAGGTATAAACTACTCATAAATAAAAATTCAGCTTTCGATAATTTTTTTTTAATATATTATAATTATATTTCTGATTCTTATATTTTGTAATTTTCAAAAAATTGTTCAATTATATCTTCACTACTGATATAAAAAACACTATTACTTACGATAATATTAAAATTGTTAAAATAATTGAATGTTATATTATGTATAATTATCTGTTCGTTAACTTTTGTTATAGGTTATTTTAGAGTATGATTGACGGTTTTTGCTCAAACACAATAAAAAAACATAAAAATTTTTATTTTTTATATTTTTTAAAAATATAACACTTACCACAACAGATTTATTAAATGTAGGATTAATCTATAGTAAATATTATGGTCTTTAATTTTGGTCTTATGTATTTTTATTTTAACTTGTAAAGCTAACGAGTTGTAAGCGAAAACAGTGAAAAGGGCCCTCCATCCTTTGAAGAGAACTATAAGGGGTAGGTGTCAGGACTTTTAGTATGTTTTAAGTGAGGTATAATCTAAAAAAAATCAAAATCCATCTTTCATGGAATTAGTTCCGAACTTTTTTCTAATTTGTCTGGGCTATTTAGGTTTTATTATTATTTAATGGCACAAAACACGCAATACTCATACGAAAGTATATGTTTTCAAATTTATGTTTATACATTTTTTAATTTCTAAACTTAATACAATAATATTATTGTCATTAGACCTCTGGCACGATTAAAGATATACATTTTACGCAACGAAACTTATTTTTTGGTGCGCTTAAAATTTACGATCCTGTCATAGCAAGAATAACAGTTAGCGCTTCTGCATTATAGTGATTTCTCTTGGTACCTACTACAAAATACATCATTATCAACAATATCAAAGTTGATAATATCAACAGACAACAACAACTATCAAATGTCAATAGTCATTTATTAATTATTAGTAAATATTATAATAAATAGTAAATTATGGAGTATGAATAAGTAATAACTAATAAGTAATAACGAATGACCATAAAAACCATTTACTATTTATAATTTAACAAGAAACAAGCTTTGATAATTTCTTCTTTGTCCTGTTTAATTTTTTGGTCTTTTGGTTTTCCATGTATGTGTATTGTCTCATACGCATACAGATGTAGTAAGTGAATATTTCTACCATCATATCAGTCTTATGATGTCCACATGGAAATTTCAAATTTGTTGAGGCCAAAAGAAATTCATTGTATGTATTTTCAAATACATCAGGAGAACTGCAATGTTTCTGAAAACTAGTCTCTAGCACTTGTAAAATATAAAAAATATTATAAATATTTCCATAAGGCTGTGTAAGAAACCCTCTAGTTTTCATTTCAACAAGTTCAGATTTATTAGTGTTTATTTCTGAATTATTATTTTTTAATCCACTGATACATAATGTGCACTTATGTTAGTAAATAGTAATTTATATTATATACATGCCTTTGCTTAGAATCAACTGTTTTTCTAAATACCTTTGGATACAGTTATTAAATGTATTTAAAGTAAAAAATGTTACAGCAACTGGAAAATTACTATCAGCCATCGAAATATCAAAAAACTATTCTTTTGGCAGAGTAATGGAGCCAATTTGACTCAGCACTGAATCAAATAATGATTCGTCTTGTTTTCAATACCTTCTGTAACCTAAGAATCAACAAATTTCCAAGTTTGTTTAATTTGTTTGTACCTATGACCTATAAAGCTGTAGTTATATAAAACTGAAAAACAAACCATCGAAACACAAGTTCGCTTAGCATCAGGATACTGAAATTCTTCAGGAATACTTTTTTTTTTAATAAACTATAGTTATGGTCATGAGTAACTACACTGTTTGACGTTGTATCTACTAACTAGTAAGAGTTTAAAAATATATAAAACTGTTAATTTCCATTTAAGAGAACTTATAAGTATTCACTAAAATAACTAACTTTCTCATGATCGCTATTATTTATGTTAGTTTGTACAGCTCCAGTTTTCAGCCTTGGTTTTTTTAAACAAATCTAGTCGCAAATATATAAGAAATATACTTAATTCTAAATAAAACTTAGAATTTTAAAACTCACAGAGTATTTATCGTTGCCATTTCCAGACACCCAAGTATTAATTATGTCGCTACTTTTAAAATTTTTAGCACACATTCTAGATACACTGGTTAGTTGTGTACCTAAAGATTTTTCCCATACAGCAATATCTTTAATATGGATGCCAAAAATTGTTTTGGAACTCTCGTGACATCCATTTACACAGCATTTATTTGACACCATAATAACGTTTTTAAATAGATACAAGAGAATTATGAAATATCTTTTACTTTCTAAATAATAAACATAAATGTTGGCATAGGATATAGGAATCAGGAAGATTATAATAAAAATAAACATTTATATCTGATAAATACAAAATCTATATTTATATAATTATATAAATAATATATAATATATACATAATACATATACATATAATATTATACATAAAAATTAAAAATTCTAAAGCCCGCCTAAAATATTTGTTTGAAAATGTTTAAAATATCATTTTGTTGGTTGATTTTATAAACGCTTGGAGCGTTAGTAGTTATTCTCGCATAGTTGATCAGCTGTTTAAACCCAACATTTAAGCGCACCACTTTTGATGTGTATGTGTATAGGGTCGTTGAGTAACCTGTATATCTTTAATCGTGACCTCTGGGAAGAAGATAGGCTAATTTAAAAAGTTTAAATATTATAGGTCCAACCCAGGGAGGTGCTCAATAAGGGATTTTAAGTTTAACATTTTAAATGTTTGTCATTGTAAATGGTTGCTATTGGTTTTAATAATAATAATTATTATAAAAGCAATACACCTGTTAGTACAGAATGCCTCAAGTTCGAACCACGGTTCCGTTGGACCAAATTTTTGCATTGTTTGCACAGAACAGTGAGAGAGTGGCCACTTGAACATCACTGTAAATAATTTATTAGGTGTGTTTTTTCACGTTGGCGTCACTGCTGCATCACTGATAAAATTTGTGGTACCGATAATCCTTATACTTCGAACGACTGCAGCAAACTCTCATTCATGATTTTAGAGATTAGTCGCAACAACTAAACATTTTTTTTTTTTTTTTTTTTAAATATGTTTGATTAGCCACATCTTTCGTAATTTTTAATTTTGAACGAGCGAACCTTAACCGAAACTGTTACTATATGTGTTAATGAAGTATCTACATTATTTTTACTTTATTATCGAGAACAGAATAATTAAGCTACTTTTTATTTTAGAATTTAAATTTATAATTCAACATGTCAATAAACAGAAAATCTAAACCTAATGATGTAGTGGAGTCTTCATCGGATGATGAAGAAACTATGTCAACCATTAATACTAGACTTACTGAACGCCCTTCAACATCAGATTCACAATGTTCAATTTGTCTTGACAAATTAAACAACCCATGTCATACAAATTCATGTTTGCATTTATTCTGTTTTGAATGTTTACAACAATGGTCAAATGTAAGTTTAGTTAAACCTTAATAATTATTACCTAATTCTTCAACGTACGTAAGGTATGTATATCATACCATATCAAGATTGTCTTAAATAGAATTTGACTATAATATACAGTTTTTGTTGGAATACATACTGTTTTTTCTCATTATAAATATGGAAGTCGAGTAAATTTCATTTGTCAAGACATTTACTTTGAATATTACTTCCATACATTTTAATGAACATTGAGTGTTATCTCAGTAATTTAAAATTACTTAAATGAGTCAAAAATAGTTAAAAAGTAAGAAGACTGAACTTAAATTTAACTAGATGTCTGTTTTATCGTTTGAAGTCTTTATTTGGTGCAATTGAAAAAAATGTAATATAATTTAATAATTTATTTACTTAATGCAGATAATATAAGAGTTAGCTTATAAATAATTATTAATTATTAACTAATTGAAAAGTCTTAATTTAATCATTTATGTTATTATTATTTAGTTTGCACAGATTTGCCCATTATGTAGGGAAACTTTCATTTATATTTATCATTCATTTGATGATCTGGGCCTCCATGAAACATATCATGTTTCAATACACATATCTAGGTTATGGGCCAGACCAGAGCTGTAAGTAACACATTATTTTAATTCTTTTATATATTATAATGTTTATATTTAAAATCTTTGTATTACTACGTTAGTGGTTCTAGATCAATAGCATTCTTCTTAGAGTCCTTTCCAAATTTACTAGCAGTTGATGACAAATTTATTTATCACACTATACGTGTACCTAAAGGAATTCGGTTTTTGTTTGTAAACGTTACCTAAAATATAGTGTTCCAATTACATAATGATATCTAGGGGGGGGGAGTAAGTGCTTCCTGTAAGTTTGGCAAGTACTCTAGAAGTAGTTATTAATTATTAGGTGAAGATTATTTCACATCTTTTAACATGTACATGTTCGGTGTAATTTAGATTATATAAAGCGTATTACATATTTGTTGTACATTGAAATTCCTAGACTAAAAATGTGTAATACAATTTTAAATATGTAATTTAAAAATATATGCATAATATTTTTAACAATACTAGTAAAATTCACAAATGATTCATAGTCTGTTTAACTTATTTGCTCAAATGAATTATGTTAAATTTCCCAAACGTTAACCATCCCCTATATACTTTTAAATATATAGTTGAATGATTTACCTATTGTATATTAAAATATTTGTTTCCAGAAGTTTTCTACTATATTATAATATAAACTAAAGTCTGTAATAGATTTTTATATTTTGTCTACAATGTTCAGTAAAATAAATTTTCTTTTGAATTTTGACAGTGGAATCCAGGAAACTGTAGGAACCTTGCAGAGTATGCCAGGCCAAGATTTAGCGCTAAATATTGATAATGACATAGCTCAAACTCTATCAAATCATAATGTTTCAGAAACACCAATAATTGGTATTTGTTATAATTTTGTTAAGTAAATGCAAATCCAATGTGTTGGCTATGTCTTACAAATGTACAACATGGCAAAACTATGATTTAAATAATATATTTCAATCTATTATTTATTTTTAAAATTAGAATAAATTGAAAGTCTATACAATTTAGAAATAAGATTGTTATCCTGGTCATATCAAATGCTTTTTTGATATTTTAATTTTAAAGTCAGTTATAATCATTTTAAAATGATCATAACTTGCTTTTTAATTTAAATTTAAATTAAAGCTTCTGAGGTGCCCTGAATCTTACATTTAAATTTAAAATCAGGTAAATTTTACTCTAATTTTAATAATAATAGAGTAAAATGGATTATTGTAAACGTAAACTTTGCTATATTGTAAGTGAGATGGAGACAACACATGCATGACATCCTCTTAGTTTATACATTTTAATATTTTCTTTAACTTTCAGGTACAGGAATGAGAACATATGTGTATATTAACAATGCGTGGGCTGATCCATTACCTGATTCAACTGGCCGTACTCTAGATTGTAGCTTAGCTAACTATAGGTAAAATTAAAAAAAATGTATCTTCTATTTTAATTTAAAATTTGAATCTTAAATAATATTATATAATACTTACTTTTAGCTATATTTATTTTAGATTAATTATTATTTCATATGCTTCAAATATTTTTTAAAATGAAATATGTATAAACACAAAATAATTCATAAGGACTTAAATTATGTTATTTATGGTAGCTTCGATTAATTTTTGAACTTGTCTAATTTTAATAATAGCCTAGTAGGCTGGTTGTTCGTGAAAAACATGATTTTTGCTAATTTTACCCGGGGTCCGAGATAGAAAACTAATGGCTAGCTGATTTTCTCTGTAATTTCTAAAAAATCTATGTTAGAATTAACATATTTTTCATTTTTACAAATATGTTTTGGGCTGGGTATGGATATTTTTATTTTCTAACCGATTTTGAGCAACACATTATTTATCACCATAGGAACGGATAAAATGTAAAAATAACCTAATTCCCACTATATTGTATAGTATATAAAATGAATGGTTACTCATTAATATATGTATATGTATGATACATAATATATTTTCTTCGAAATGAAAAATATCAAGTATTGTGCTACAACTAAGAAATTATTAAAATATTTAGATTAATTTTAAGCTATTACCTATTTATACCATGCACCTATCCACACTGTTTTACAGTAAGGTGGTATTAAATTATAAGTTAATAACAATAATATTATATGATAGAAGTATAAACTATGTATTACAATAATGAAATATTAGTTAATATAATAAATTCAATGAATTTTTGCAAAAATTCAACCTACCATAATACTAATAGTAAAATAAGTTACTTTAATTAGAATATTAAAAAAAACTTATCATTAAATATACTTGATAGATTTATCTTGGCTTACAGAACATCTTCGTTCAGAATTATTTTTCCTATACAACGGTATATCATAAAATACAAATTTAACACATCTATTACAGCGACTCACTTAACACCTACTGTAAAGCAGAGCAGTATCCACTTGCCCACCTCTTTTTGGTAACTTCTTTTTTTTTTTTTTTAAGGCCTTTCGGTTAAAAATAGTGTCTTGTTAGTTCGCAACTCGTTAGGTTTTATAATCAATAGTTTACCTTCAAGATAAAAAAATTACAAATTATTTTGGAAAAAATAAACAGTTTTTACAAATATAATTTTAAAATTTAGTATCATAACACATATGTAACAGATCCACTCCAGTTAGGTTTAATATAGGTAACTTTGTCTAATTTGCCGACAGAGTAGTTATTATAATAGACACTAAAATTATGTTTAAACTGAGCATTACTTAAAAAAAAAAATGTAGATTATTACAGTTAGCTAATGTTTAATGAAAATATGGAAATAGTTTAAAATTACTCCATTATAATAAGATGACAATCCACCATATCTCATTCCTTAACTAGTTATTTATGTTTTGCAGTGCAGATCTAAAATACTGGACAAATTCCAAAAATTTGGCTTGTGTCTTATCAGAGAATACTTATAAACTTTGCCTCTACCAGGAAACATTTTTGTTTATAATTTATGTTTCATACAGTGCATATTTTTATTCTTTCAGAGCTGATCCATCACAAACAAACGGACTGTATATATTCATTCTTAGAGATATTATTGCCGTAAGGGAATATCTAAGAGTAGGGGGTCAGGCCATGCCTCTGCCGAACCTAAGAGATGTAGTTGTGACAAATTATATAATGCAATTACTCTTAACTCATGAAATAAGACAGTTACATTTGCTTAACGTCTTAAGGCCTATCCTGGATTGGCATGCAGTACAATTTTTCCATGAATTATACAATTTTGCTAGTAGTCCTTATGACATTAGAGAATATGATCTCAATGTTACTTTTACTTTTCGGCTGTATTATAGAGAATTGACAGTAAAATAAACAACATATTGCAAATAATGAGTTATTATTAATATAAGTGTATGTACATTTTCTTAGGAACCATGGCAAAGTGAAAGTACTGTAATGAATTCCGATAACGAAGAAGTTCAAAGGCCAATGCTAATTACCAATGTTAGTTCTAGCACCAATAATTCTGATGTAATTCAAAGTCACTCCTTCCGTTCTATCGAACCACTTATTTCTGCCCCTATAGACCAACCATCTTCATCGACTGGAAATCAAAACTCGTTAAATAGCTCAAACAATAGGTAACAGAATAATTATAGTGTGTACATTGTATATAATATAAAGACTTATAACTGTATTTTTTATTCATTTGAATTGATATAATATAAGAAGATGAAGAATATTCTCACTAACTGTTAATTATTCTTCTAGTTTTCAATCTGTAGACGGTGGTTCATTTCCATATCAACCTCATCTAAGAAGAAGACGGAGGCCTAATCAAAATTCTTCATCGGATGATGAAGATTCAATAATTGCTACTCGTGGTTCTAAAACTGCTCATAGAAAATCTCAGAATATTAATAAAAAAAAAAACAAAAAAAGAAAATTAAAAAAAAAAAAAAAAATTAACACCAATGATTCAGGGTCTGAAATGCCCAGTACCAACAGAAATCGTTCATATTCAGAATCATCCTCAACGTTGGGAGAAACAGATACAAATTAGCAGCAATGTCTATTAGTAATTTGTAGAAAACTTTTTGTTACTTAATGTATCAACTTATGCAGAATCTATTGTATTATATTTTAAAGTAATTTGATACAGTTAACATTTTTTATCGACAGTAATTTAAAAAAAAAAAAAAATTAATAAATTCCCAAATTTCAAGTGTATATAAATATCTCAAAAACAATCAAAATATTTTTAAAATTTTATCACTAGAAATAATGCAAAATTAACTTTTTTTAACCTAACTAGATAAGACAAATAAGTTATATAAATACTTATATCACATTGTCATAATATGTAAAACGTCTTGACTTAATACCGTTTGTATAATTTTATACCTAGCTATAGATATATTTGTCTAAACTGCTTTTTTATGATGTAAAACATTAAACGAGTGCAAATATAAATAAATATTGTATATTTCAATAACAATTGTAACAGACAACCATTCAGACAAGTGTGGTGTTGAAAAAAACGTATATTTATACCAATATACGAGCTTGGTGTTAACGAACCACAAGTTACCTGTATATCAAGAATTTTATAAAAAATTTCATAATTTACTTTTGTTACCATATATTTAAAAAATGCATAGCTCTTATAATAATATATGAAACTCCTCTATTATGAAGAAATCATGAGAAATATAACAAACAAATAGTAATACTAAGTATAGTATTTTCCTCTAGAATAAATGTGTTAGAAAAGCTTGAATATTTCAATATTTGTCTAAAGTTAGTAGTTACAAATTATTTTATCCTATAGTGTATCTAATTCATTAATTTTCATTTGAATTATCATTGCATTCGTCTTATTCATGATAGTTAATTGTATATGGTCACTGGTCAGGATAAATATGCAGTCTGTCATTCATTTTAAATCTAAACAATTTTAAAAAAATTATCATATATTTTATACTGTGCAAAAATATAAATTATTGTATTTACCGTCAAATGTTGGAAAAAATTACACTAAATATGTCCAAATTCCCAATAAAATAGAAACACATAATTACAGGGCTCGTGACTTTATGCATTTGCATATTTGTTCGGGAAGTAAATAGAATAAATCTGATCCGGTACAAATTTGTGTTGTGGTGTTTGGAGTTAAAGTTTAAAAGTTTATTGTGCATATGTTTGCATAATTTTTAATTTTTTTCTACAAATGCATATTTCTAAGATTTATTGATTTTTTTTTCATATTTTAAAATAATTTTTGATTTTTTACTCTTAAATCATATTTTTTGTAAATTAATCAATTTTATCTACGTGATTTTGTCGGCAATAATACCTATAAGACGATAATAGCAATAAAGCGATATAGCATTACGGTGAAACCATTTTATTTTTAGCTCTGAAGACAATATTATTTTTATTTAATCTGTCTTTTACAGAATTATTTTGTTTGACAGTACATAGTGATCGACGTACTGCAATCGTTATAGTGTCAATTTATACATCGTCAATCGTTGTCGTCTTCTTATTTTTATTCGTTATTTTGTATTTATTAGTGCTCGTTTATTTTGTGGTATAATATGCCAAAAGAAAAAAAAACACAAATCAGTAAGTTGAAAAGTTTCATTCTGGAATTTGGGGATAATGTATTTTCCGCAGACGGAAGAGTTTTATTTTGCAAAACGTGTGAAATTAAAGTAGAATATGAACTTCGATCTAGTGTAATACAACATATACAAACAGTTAAACATGTGAAAAAAACCCAACAAATGATTACACAAACTAGTAAAACTAAAAAGTCTACTTTCAATATGGACTTATGTAAAGCATTGCTAACATTCCACTGAATAAATTATAGAACCAAGTATTTCGAAATTTTTTGGAATCTTACACAGGGAAAGAGAAACCGTATGAAAAGGCCATATTGATGATTGTTTTATTGAAACTATGTAAAAAATAAGAGAATATATTTGTGATCATAAAATTTGGATATCGATTGACGATACGACAAATGCTGAAGGTCGATTTATCGCAAACGTGATTATAAATTATAAATTTTTACGCAAAATCAGTTTTAAACAAAATCGATATTGGTTTTTGATGTAACTCTAAAAAAAATGAACATATATACATGACATTTTCACTGGTTGTTTATATTTGCATTTTTTATACACTATGAAATTTTCAAAATATTATGATTTGTTTTGAACTGCTTAGGAACATTTTCATTGTCCATTTTTTAGATTCTCAGTGGAACGATGAATGTATTGATTTTACAATAATGTGTGTTTTTTATTTTATTTGTGTCTGTGTACACAATAAGTAGTCGAAATAATACTTCGATTTTCAATTTCAGTATCTTGTTCGATTGGAAAGTGAATATCGTTGGTGCGTTGGGCAGGTCAAAATTTAAAATTCCCAGTAATTTTCAAAAGCACCAAGAAAAACAAAAGAACAATTAAGGAAAACGTGAATTTTTACCCAAAATCGATTTTTCATAAAATCGACTTTGGTTTTTGGTGTAACATTAAAAGAAACGACCATGCAATTTTCACTGGTTGTTTATATTTCCATTTTCTATACACGATAACATTTTCAAAATATTTTCATTTGTTTTGAACTGTTAAGGGACATTTTCAGTTTCCCATTTTATTAGTTTCTTTTTCCATGAATGTCAATAAAACTTTATTTGTAGAGTAAAAATACTTAAAATGTAATACAAGGTTCCTACTATATTGTTACAATGACATTAGAAAAATATTAAAAATCTTTAGTCGAAGTATTTTTTTATAATAATTTAAAGTTCATAAATTGACAAAATATGTAAAATTATATCTCAAATTATTTTGAGTTAAGAAGTCGTAAATTTTAGATTCTGAGTGAAACAATGAATGTATTGATTTTACAATGATGTGTGTTTTTTTTTATTTTTTTTTTATTTTTTATTTTTTTTTTATTTTTGTGTCAGACAGTTTTAGGACAGTAAAAGTGCTTGGATTTTCTTCAACAGTATCTTTTCTGATGGGAAAGTGAATATAGTTGGTACTTTGTTGGGTCAAAAATAAAAATTTAACATTAGTTTTCAAAAGCACAGTGAAAAACAAAAGAAAAATTAAGGAAAAACGGGAATTTTTACGCAAAATCGGTTTTGGTTTTTGGTATAACTCTAAAAGAAATGAACATTGAACATACATGACATTTTCACTGGTTGTTTATATTTGCATTTTATATACACGATAACGTTTTCAAAATATTTTGATTTATTTTGAACTGTTTAGAGACCTTTTCATTTTCCATCTTCTTTTAGTTTTTTTTCTAAAAATATCAATGAAATTTTATTTGTTAGTTGCGAAAGCTTGAAAATTTAATAGAGGGCTCCTAGTATATTTTTTCAAAGGCAGATGAAAAATATTAAAATTCTTTAGTCACAGTTTTTTTTTATAAGCATTTAAAGTTCAAAAATTTACAAAATATGGAAAAATCACGAAAATTAGCAAATTATTTTGAGTTAAGAATTCGCAAAAATTTTTCTTTTTAAATCTAAGATTTGAAAATGTAATACAAGATTCCATATAAGATTATCTACCTTTATCAATAAAAAAATCTCTACCGGACAGTCAAATTAAATTTTTATGAGCGTTTGAAATTCAAATTTTTACAACATTGGATGTTCACTCGATTTCTCATGTAGCAATTTCCTAATTTTTTTTTGTACTTCAAAAACGAATAACTGTAGATACATGAAAATGTCATTGAATGTTTATATTAGCATTTTCCTATACACCATACAATTTTGAAAATATTTTGACTCTTTTTGAGCTGTTTACGGACATTTTTATTTTTCAATTTAATTTAGATATTTTTCTAGGTTTAATTATTATCTGTTTTGCCAAAAAGTGTAAAAATGTAATACCTACAAGGTTCCTGAAATATTGTTACAAAATCAGTTGAAAAATAATATTAAAAATAACTATTCACAATTTTTTTTATAAGTATTTAAAGATCGAATTTTGACAAAATTTATCAAATTTAAAATTGAATAATTATTTTGTAGTTAATGTATAAAATGTTCAACTTTTATAGAAATGTGGTTCTTGAAGATGAAATACAATACAACATCTTTAATGGAAATTTAAAGTGAGTTGTTGATTATGGTGCACTTAACAGCACTTGTCATAAATAAATTAAAAAGTTTGAAAATATTATAATATTGTGTTTTTATAGGTGGTTTTGGGAAATTTTTTTAAAATTGTGTTTAAAAATGTAGTTGGATGAACTATTTGTTTTTAAACCAAACATAAAAAGCGAAGTATGATAACATATTGCTTGTTAATTTGTCAATTTCATTGAATGTTTATATTAGCATTTTCTACTCACCATAACATTTTGAAAATATTTTGACTCTTTTTGAGCTGTTTACGGACATTTTTAGTTTTCAATTTTTTTAGTTTTTTTTTTCTATAAATATCAATTAAGTTTTATCTGTTGGGCCAAAAAGTGTAAATTTAATACAAGACTCCTGATATATTGTTGCAATATCAGTTCAAAAACATTGAAAATACATACGCACAATTTTTTTTTATAAGCATTTTAAATTGAAATTTTGACAAAATGTATCAAAAACTCGAAAATTATCAATCATTGTACCTAATTAATAAATTATAAAATGTTCAGTTTTTATACCTAAGGATTGCAAATTTAAAACAAAGGTTCTCATAAATAGTTCATACTGAAATCAAAAAATCTAAAAAATATATGAACACAGTAATTTCTTACAGACATTTTAAATTCAAATTTGGACGAAATTACATATCAAAAACCTAGAAAAACTATTTTAGTTATTTTGTTGTGATTGAATAATATTATTCCTGGGTACTTGAAACTTCTAAAGTGTACTATATTATATATCTATGATAGTATCACGGTTTTTGTTGATGTATAACGCGTTATACGTACCTAATGGATATTGTGATATGATTAATTTGGAATTTATTATAGGGTACCTATTATAGGTCAATTTTTTGTTTAATACCATAGATATGTATAATATGTCGTATACATAGACTGACATACCGTCTCTGCTCAGAATCGTTTTTCTTATACAATGATATTATATCGTTGAATTCAAATTTAATATCATCCATTATACAGTGACCCACTTGTAACCTACTGTACAGCAGAGCGACACCCACTTGTCCACCTTTTTTTTTTCTTTTTAAATCTAAGATTTTTAAATTTAATACAAGATTCCTTATAAGATTGTCTACCTTTTTCAAAAAAAAAAAAAATTCTATAATAAAGTCAAATTAAATTTTTATGAGCATTTGAAATTCATATGTTTACAACATTCTATATTCATTCGATTTCTGGTGTAGCGATTTAATTATTTTGTTGTAATTCAAAAACGAATGACTGTGGGTACATGAAAATTTTACTGTATGTTTATTTTATCAAATCTTATACTTCATAACATTTTCAAAACATTTTTATTTGTTTTGATTTTTTTATGGACAATTTCATATTTTTTTTTTCTATGAATACCAATAAAGTTTTATCTTTTTTTGCCAAATATATAACATAATATAATAATATAATATTGTGTTTTTATAGGTTGTTTTGGGGGATTTTTTTTAAAAATTGTGTTTAAAAATGTAGTTGGATGAACTATTTGTTTACATAAAAAGCGAAGTATGATAACATATTGCTTGTTAATTTGTCAATTTCATTGAATGTTTATATAAGCATTTTCTACACACCATAAAATTTTGAAATTATTTTGACTCTTTTTGAGCTGTTTACGGACATTTTTAGTTTTCAATTTTTTTAGTTTTTTTTTTCTATAAATATCAATTAAGTTTTATCTGTTGGGCCAAAAAGTGTAAAAATTGAATGTAATACCCCTGATATATTGTTACAATATCAGTTGAAAAATATTAAAAATATAAAGGCACAATTTTTTTTATAAGCATTTAAAGATCGAATTTTGACAAAATGTAACAAATTTAAAATTGAATAAAAATTTTGTAGTTAAAAATTTATAAAACGTTCAACTTTTATATCTAAGGATTGAACATTTAAAACAAGATTTCAAGTAAGTAGTTAATTCTGTTACCAAAAAATCTAAAAACTACATTAGCAGAGTTTATTTGTATAGTTATTTTAAGTTCAAATTTGGAAGAAATTACATATTAAAAACCTAGAATAACTATTTTAGTTATTTTTTTGTTATTGTATAATATTATTTGTGGATACTTGAAACTTCTAAAGTGTACTATTATATATCTCTGATAGTATCACGATTTGTTGTTGATGTATAACTCGTTATAAGCATCTAAAGGATATGATTAATTTGGAATTTATTATAGATACATTTTTTTTTAATAAAATAGATAAGTATATAATATGTCTTATACCTAGACTGACATACCGTCTTCGCTCAGAATCGTTTTTCTTATAGACAGTGTTAGTAGGGTCGACCAGAGCGCAGTCTAGTGGTTAATGAATAAAAACTCCCAGGTAAGTCTAACACTCGTTTACATTGGACATGACGTTTGACGTTTCCAAATTAAAACCTAGTATTTTAATTTTAATTGAGATAATATTATTGTCTGAAATGAAGAAAATTAAAAATTCTTATGGCATGGAAAATAAAGTACCAGATTAAATATTTTAATCAATATACAATTGAATATAATATAACTTTATATATAAGTATTATAAAATTATAACATAAACTGATAAACAAACTTTGCTTATAAGTTTTTAGTTTTTTCGAAGTTTTAACTTTTATTTTATTGCAGTTTAAAATAATATGATGACTAATTTAATCATTGAGTATGGGTTTGAA